AAATGAACAACTCATCAGTTTGAAATCCCGCATCATCCTGAGCAGCATGATGACATCTCACACTACCCTACTTCTTCCTTCCTAGGATATGAATCACCCTTTGTCCAGGATACCCACCAGACGCCATATACTACCTGTACATTGGTCACTTAAAAGCTGTCCCACTTATCAGATCAACTGTCATGGTATTGTAATACTTGCATTTAAATAACCCTAATTTCACTCAACAAGACCCCAATGTTCAAAAGTAAACATGAAAGAAATTTGGATATGCCAAAGAGAAGACACAAGTACTTTGTTTAAGTGAAAAGGTAAAAGTTCTTTACTTAATGGGAAGAAAAAAAGCTTAGGTTACTGACTACATTACTGTTGTTAATCTTTTAATTATTGTTAGGATAGTGATGATATATGAGTGGGGCCAGGAAAAGCTCTGAGGATGTAATTTTCAAGCCAATAACTAGGAGATAAGAAGGATGAGACAGCTGTAAGAACTTCCACGAAGAGGAAGCATGGAGTGCACAGATTCCACTGTAGGAATGGCCCTAACACAACCCACAAATCAAAGTAGACTGGAAAGCAACATACTGAGGTGCCAGTGGCACAGACAAAGCTAGAAAGATAGGCAATGGCCACATAATACAGGGAACTGTAATGCCATTGTCATAGTTCAAGTTCTCAAATGGAGTTTAGTTGGCAGGATGTTTGTTAAAGAGTTCCCTTTGGCTCAACACCTGTGAAAGAGAAGAAGTAGAAAAGAAGGGTAAAACAAGACATGAGCTGACACAGCTTCAACCAACCTCATGTGGAGCTCTGGGGACAGCATTGCCCAAAAGAGTTGTTCAGAGCTGGGCCAAGATGAACAAAGGCTGTGATGATCAGTCACTAGTTGCAGATCTGGAAAGGGCATGACCTCAGATGAGGGGGCTGCCAGCAATGGAGATCATCCTTGAAGGAATGGATTCCTGAAGGCATCAACTAGCAGCACTGCCAACAACCAAACCAGATGGGACATTCCAGTGTTCACTTAAATCATAGCCATAGAAGCAAGATCTTATTTGTTTGCAACAGGAAGTCTTCAACTGATGGGACTGAAGTAAGTGACATGAAGCAATATGGCTTTCATGTGAAGACTGAGGCGGGGGGTTAAGTTTGGAAATAGAGAGACTACTAGTCCACATGGTGCTATCTAGGTGAGAGGTGAAGGAAGTTTAGACTTATGAAGAAATGTGGATATATATATATGGGTTAGAGATTCGAGATATGTGAAAAAGTAAAAGGAAGGAAGAGCTTATTTCTATTAATATGAAACCCACAGCTCAGGACATCATGAGAGAAGAATATGCAAAATCAAAGGCTGTACAAAAGAACTTAATATTCTTTAAAACAAATTTCACTTATCTAAGTGGCTTTTGTAAGATATGGTAAAGAGAATCTGATTACATGGAGATAGAACTTTGAACTTACTTTCTTTCAAGTTAGTTTTAATGTGGCCTCATCCTCCATTTGACATTAACACAATGGACCAACAATGGATTGGCCCTGAAACAAATGATCAAAGTAGCACTTGGAAAAGGCGCAGTCTTCTTTAGAGAAAAACTGACAAATGTTTGTTTATGTATTAACAGTTTACAGTATGAGAACAAAGTCATCAGCGGCTATAAAGGCATGTTGAATCATCGCCACTGCGAAGCACAGCATTTCAGAGCAGGAGGGAACACTGGGGAACACATGATCCAGGTATTCCACTTCATAGATAGGAAGACCCAGATCCCAGAGCAGTTATTGACTCGTGACCACACAGAAGTTCTGGGAGCCAGGATAAACTAGAATGCAGCTTTCTCACTTGGAGCATTTCCACTCTGGCCTACTCCTGCCTTTCCAATGCTTAGGGATGGAAGAGAAGCTGCAGGGTTGGAGCTCCTCGGTCAGTTATTCCTATGACAATCTCTCTTAGGACATGATGAAAAGGGTTTGCTTGTTATGACTGGTCACCAAAGGAAATCGATTATCAAAAAACAGTCCCTAAAATATAAATGACATTATTCTCCAATGTATTTTATCTTTTAAGTGTAGAGTCTATCCACATTTCAAATTTTCTTGGAAGCTCCCTCAAGCTTTAAACATGCTACTAGGCCAGTGAACACATCTATGAATTTCCAGCTTTTCTATCATATATTTGAGAATCTTTCTTTTTATTTATCTTTTCACTAAAGGTCAGTGAGCAAAACTTATATTTTGAGATGCAATCCCCTGGAATTGAGGCCTTCTAAAGAATGCCACCTAATGTTCCAGGCATCACTCACACTGTGGAAACAATTCCTGACCCATGAAGGAAACATCATGTCACAGAGACTTTTGTACAATTCCTTTGTTAATGGAACCAGTGATCTTCAGCTGAATTCAATCTCAGATTTACAGTGCACCACTGCTGAATGCCCACAGGAGAATATGTGCTTTTCTAAGATATCTTAAAAGTTAAAATGGGTAGCTTTTGTCTACCAATAATGTGTGGAATCATGAAACATATCTGCTTGCATTTATAGCTAGTCCCCTTTCCAAATGTTTCCCTACTGCGCCTGACAGTGATGTATTAACAGGCAATGCCAGATGTAGCAGGGAGAGAGGAGAGAGGCAAGGAGGCAGGGAGAAGAGAAGAGTGCAGAAGAGTGGGAAGTGAGGGGCAGGGATGTGAAGAGGGATGAAAGGAAAGGAGGGAAGGAAGGGAGGAAGAAGGAAGGAGAGTAAAAGGAAAGGAAGTTAGGAGAAAAACACAGGAGGAGAGAGGAAAAGAGAGGGAGTGCTTGTGAATTAGCTTTCATTAAAATTTCCCTGTCTTTATTTTCTCCTAGAAGCTAAGAAGAATTTATTTGTAGGTACAACAGATATAATTATCCAAGCATACACAAATCTGTCTACACTCAAGACTTCCAGAGCTTTAAGATTCAGCCAATATTTTACAAAATGTAATTTACTTTTATTAAAATAAGATAATGAGCATGTTCAATGAGCAACTGAAGATTGAGGACACAGAGTATGAGACTAAATTTAATGACTAAATAATGTCATTAGCGTAGTACCTGATACTCAGCAGGAGCTCAGCAAATAATCATTTATTATTATTATTACTACACGCGTAATGGTGCAACTCAATAAAACACAAATTACCAATCCACATAAATGCTAGTATGTGGTAATTAACTATGAATTGTAAGTTCCCATAAATTATTGGAATTAATATTGTCTTTACAGAATGACACCAAGCTTCCTTGTTTGTTTTAGAGCTCTGCATTTTTATAACAAACCATTGTTTCTGTTTTCCCCAGGTATGGCTTAATTCTCTTCAGCATTCATGATGATTCCCTTCCTGGGAGCCAGAGGCCAGATGGGATCCCCCCAAGCAGGTGATTGCTTCCCCATCTTGTCTTGGTGCACATTCTCTGGGCATCCTCAGGAGAGGCACCTTGCCTACTGTCTTGGACTGTTTTGTGCTGCTATAACAACAGAGACTAAAATTGGATAATTTATTAAAAAGTAGAAATTTATTATTGCCCAATTTTGGGAAGTTCAATGTCAAGGTGTTGGTATCTGGCAAGGGTCTTCCTGCTGTGTCATACATAACATGGCAGAAGGGAAAAACAGTGAGAGGGGCTGGGAGGTAGGTAGCAAGTGATAGAGCACTTGTCCAATGTGTGAAAGGTCCTGGGCTCAATTGCAACACCTCCCACAAAAGAAGGAGGGGGTTGGAGATGAATCAGATTCACAACTTCCTTCTTTTCACTCCCCTCCCTCCCCTCCCTGCCCCTCATGGTCATGCTCCTCCTCCTCTTCTCCTCTCCTCCTCCTCCTTCTTCTCTCCTCTCTCCCTCCCTTCCTCCTCTCTCTCTCTCTCTCTCTCTCTCTCTCTCTCTCTCTCTC